GGGTTTGGATAGTTTTGGAGATGTGAGCTAGAGAAACTCTAGAATGTTGTGAGCAGTGTTCAATGTGTAATACTGGTCAGAGATCAAAAGACCAGAATGCTAGTAGGAATGTGAATATTACAGGCTATACTTAGGAGATTTCAGTTGAAAACAAAAATTCCATTGGCAGTTGGACTACAGACCATGTGTGTTCTACTCTGGTAAAAAGAAAAAAAAAAAAAACTGTGCCATTTTGCCCATGTCCTGAGATTTTATGGGAGATTAAGAGTGAGAACAGTGAAAAAAAAAAAAAAAAAGAGTGAGAACAGTGGACTAATGAGTATACCAAAAAATCTCAAGGCAACCCTATGTTTGGGCAGTGGCATGGGTATTACTGCTTTCAGCACAGTTTACAGTAAGAATAGGGAGCAAGCAGCAGAGCTGAATGCTTTGAAGAGCGTGCAGTTTCACTAAAAAGGAAGCACCTGCAAGGTTGGAGTAAAGAACAGCAAGGTTACTGAAAATATTAACATGAAGAAGAAGCCAGGTGTTTCATACATGGACAAAAGGAAAGATGCTTTGAGGGCATCTCAGCAATTAACAAGACTGTAGGGTTCAAGGCTGCAAAACTATAAATCTTTCATTTAAGAAGACAGTTCTTGGACGCCCTGCTCAAGAGGGAATGCCTAGGGAATTGGTTCTCTAGGATTCACTTCACTACACTCAGCAATTCAGGCACTCAGAGACCACAATATCCTTGGTCCAAGAGGGCCTGACCACTACCATTCAAGTGGATTTCAAAAGTTCGAGTTGTCGGGGCTGGGGATTTAGCTCAGCGGCAAAGCGCCTGCCTGGCAAGCGCAAGGTCGTGAGTTCGGTTCCCGGTACCGGAGAAAAAAAACCAAAAAAAAAGTTGGAGTTGTCTATGTGGTGCTGGTTTTACAGGCCTGCAGAAGGCAAGAGTCACAGGATACTGGACCAAATATGCACACCTCTCCTCCTTTAACTTGTAGGTATTGGGTATTTTGTCCCAGCAAGGAAAAAGTGGCTAAGACAAATGGGTGTATAGGAGGGAGGATATAGGTCAGTGGTAGAACACTTCCCTAGCATGCATGATGCTGTGGGATGATTTCCCAGCACCACAAAACTTTAAAAAGGAAAAAAAAAAAAAAAGAATCAAGATATATCTTTTTTGTTTTTGTTTTTGTTTTTGTTTTTGTTTTTGTTTTTGTTTTTGTGCTGGGAATCAAACTCAGGACCTTGCACTTGCCAGGCAGGTGCTGCACTGCTGAGCTATATCCCCAGCAAGATATATCATGTACAGCTACAAATTCCCTGTGATGAATGTGAGCATTATGTATGTACCAATAAACATAATTAATTTCAAAAAAGCTTTTTAAAAAAAGAAAGGAAGGAAAAAGAAATAAGCTTGTAAAACATTATGGGATTGGAAGTTTTTAAAAGCTAAGGTAGGAATAGTTTCTCATCAGTCCTTGCTTCTTGCTATGAAATAAGAAGCCTTTCATAGTTCCAAATTCCTCCTGTTCTCTCCCCTTCTTCGTTGTGTTTGTATGGGGTGTGGTTGAAAGATATGGGAAATTTTTATATTAGAAAAAAATCTATTACATTGAAAGATGCACTGCTATTAATTCCCTTCAAGATACTCCCCCTTGCTTTGAACACATCTATCTCATCAACCTTGCCACTGGCTGCAGCAGAGATGGGGGTTCCTTTTATGAGTGTCTTTAGTTGCACTGTTGTACCTGCCTTGATGTCTCGAACTGACTCAAAACTTTTACCTTTCATAGTCAATTGACTTTGGGAAACAGCAGAAGTTTCATGCTGCCAGAGCTCGTGAATAAGGTGGATGGGGACACACAGTAATGATTTTACAACCTACCTCTCTGTTTTGGCACCCAGCAGCGCATTCACCACGTTTTTATCACACCTCATAAAGACACATGCAAATGAGGACTTTCAGAATGGCTTCAGAGAGTCGCAAGATGTCAGTGGGAGTGTAAACTAGTACAATCGCTATTGAAATTAGTGTGGAGAATCCTCAAAACACTTAAAATAGAAATTCCATTTGACCCAGCTATTCCTCTTCTGGGTAACTTCTTTTAAAAGTTAAAGACATCATATTACAGTGACACATCCATATCCACATTTCTAACAGCGCAATTCATAATAGCAAAATTGGGGAAGTGGTCTATATGTTCATCAACAGATGAATGGATAAAGAAAATGTGGTATTTATGCACAATGGAGTACTATTCTGCTATAAAGAAGGATAAGTTTGTGTCACTTGTAGGAAAATGGGTGTGCCTTGGATCCATAATATCAAGTGAAATAGTCATACACACAAGTTTAAACATCATATGAGTTCTATTATATGGGAAACCCAAAGGAAAAGTAAAGCAAATACCATAACAAAAGATAGACAATAGGGACTAGCAGATAGATCTTTGGCAAATGGGCAGGGGAATAAGAGATATTGAGAGGCCAGAAGAGGAAGAAGGGAACGTAAAACGAATTAAAGTGTGTCACGTACACGAACTAATTGCAATGCATGGATTCATCGTGTGCCACAAACATGTACTAACAAAAGAAAGGAAGAGGCAAGAATGACGGGATAAGTGTGTTCAAAGTGGTGGGGAGATTAATCTCAATGTGTCTTCACTGTAACAAATGTTTGAATTTAACACTCATTGTATATTTCACTCACATCTTGTAGTTACCTTCCAATGCTTATTTATGCATTTCATAACATTCCTATTTTGTTCTTTCACCATAAGACCCATAATTGCTTGGAATTTATTATACATTTTTATTGATTCAGTGTTCACCCGTTGCATTTACCAAGACTCCTGCTTTCCTTTGTTCCGTATTTCAATTCAGACCTTAGGTGGCTTTACTTTTGGAGTTTCTTTCAAGAAGTACTTAGACGTGCTGCATTCTGAGACTTTTTTTCTCTTTTTGTAATAAGAATACTTACCATGTGATCTTCCCTTTTAAAACTTTTCTTAGCCACTCTCGTTTTTAAACAGCCTTGGATAACCCACAAAAGGAATAATCCAAATAAAAACAAGTGAGGGTTGGCAGTATATCATAGTGGTAAATCTGTATTTTCAGAAAACAAAGCAAACTCCTCTTACCTTTTGTTTTTCTATTATAATGACCAGCTTTTGGTATTTCATTGTTACTGAGATCTATTTTTGAAATAAAATGTGTTCTTTAGTTAAAAAAGATAAAAATAAAAATTTTCTTCTTTTTTTTGTACCAGGAATCGAACTCAGGACCTTGTGCTTGCCAGGCAGGCGCTTGTACCACTGAGCTATATCCCCGGATTTTTAAAATTTTTAAGTGCACAGTACAGTACACTTAATTGATTCCACACCTCGGCTGTTGGGGATGCTCTTGCAATCAGCGACAGAGTGCTGATACTGATTTCAATCCTTTTGGATAAATACCCTGAAGTGGGTTGGTGTATCATACTGTAGTTCAATTTTTTTTTGGTGGGGGTACCAGGAATCGAACTCAGGACCTTGGGCTTGCCAGGCAGACTCTTGTGCCGCTGAGCTATAACCCTGGCCCCTCCATTTTTAATATTTCAAGAAACTTCTGTACTATCTTCCCTAGTCGTTGCACCATTCTGCACTCTCACCAACAATGAATAAGGGTTGGATTTGCAAACTTTGGTTTATTCTCAATTCAATCATTACTTCCTTGACTACTTCTTTCAGAGAAACAATGTTTTTACGCTGAATCTTTTTCTTTTTTTGCTTTTTACATCTATTATCTTCCATTTCATTGCTTTTACTTTTGTCTTTTTCATTACATTTACTTAAATTATCTCATGCATTTTTTCTATGTTAAGATTCAAGTTTCAGGTTCAAGAAAGGAGAGAGAGAAAAGAAAGAGGGACCGCCGCAGCCACCACCAGGTGCCGTCCCGGAGCCGCTGGGGAACTGGCCGCATTTCTCACTGCTGGGCATCCCGTCCTCAGACCCGTTTCAGCAAGCGGTTCAGACCTGGCGGATTACTATGAAGTTGTAGGCGTGCAGAGACACGCCTCCCCCAGGGACATCAAGAAGGCATCCCGGAAACTGGCACTAAAGTGGCACCCAGATAGAGATCCTGAGACTAAAGAAGAAGCAGAGCGAAAATTCAAACATGTGGCTGAGGCATCTGAGGTGTTATCAGATGCTAAAAAACGGGACATCTATGACAAATATGGCAAAGAAGGATTAAATAGTGGAGGAGGAGGCGGCAGTCACTTTGACAGTCCTTTGGGGTTTGGGTTCACCTTCTGGAACCCAGATGATGTCTCCAGGGAATTTTTCGGAGGAAGGGACCCTTTCACCTTCTTCGAAGACCCATTTGAAGACATCTCTGTGAACGGAAGGGGTCCCCGAGGAAGCAGCAGCCTTGGTGCAGCTCTTCTTTCTCCGCCTTCAGTGGATTTCCATGCTTTGGAGGTGGATTTTCTTCATTTGATGCAGGATTTACTTCATTTGGGTCCCTGGGTCATGGGGGCCTCACTTCAATTTCATCCACATCATTTGGAGACAGTGGAATGGGTAACTTCAAATCTGTGTCAACGTCTACTAAAATCGTTAACGGTAGAAAAATCACCACAAAGAAAACTGTGGAGAACGGTCAGGAAGGAGTAGAAGTTGAAGAAGACGGACAGTTAAAGTCCTTAAGGATAAATGGTAAGGAGCAGCTGCTGCTAGGCTTGGATGACAAGTAATTCAAAGCACGCATTTAACAGAAATGTTAAACTATAACCAGCACCATAAGAGGATTAGCAGGAACTTTTTTTAAGATTTTAGATGAACTCAATTTTCAGTATATCTGTACCTATCTAAAATATTTATAAACACCTCATAGGAGCCCCTCTTTGTCATAGACCTTTGAGTGTATTGGTGGGACCACACAGTAGGATCTTTTTTTGTCTTTAAAATTGTTGTAATCTCTATACGCACTTTGTTTTTTTATTAAACATGATTTAAGGTAAGCCTTGACCCTTGAGCAGCGCTAGGACAAGATTGTGCCCTAACACCAGCATGGATCTGCTTCCCACTGTGCTGGAAACGTGCGCAAGTAGTGTCTGCCTGCTGTGAAGCTAACGTTGCCAGGACGAGTTCTCCACAGAAATAATTTCCTTTTTTCCACTATTAATGCATTAATGATAATGCATTTCTGGTTCAATTAAAATTTGAGGATGTTTTCTAGTTATACATGGATGCTGGCAATTTAAGTTTTGACAATTGTTTAAATGTGTAATGTTAAGCTCCATTTGGTAAAAGCTGGTAAACTGAGTCTTTGTCATTTGCTTTAAAAAAAAAAAAAAGAAAGAAAAAGAAAAAAAAGAAGGAAGGGAGAAAATAAATGTGAATGTGTTTGGTGCATTCTTTCCACAGTGGGATCTGCAGTCTGCTTATATCTGTGTATTTTGTACCTGGGTTTTTAGTGTCCCGTCATTAGTACTTCATTTTATCATTATGGTGGGTGCTGAATGTAAGTTATATGCAGAGCACATGCAGACTTGCTTATTTATAAATGATTTAGCAATTACTTTAAACATTTCACTGCCTGGCAAGCACAAGGTCGTGAGTTCTATCCCTGGTACCAAAAGAAAAACAAAAACAAAACAAAAAACAACAACAACAACAAAAAAGAACATTTCAGAGTGCTAACATTTCTGTGGGGGAGGGAAGAAACATTTGTGAAAATTTCCATCTTAAAAGTTTTGTTTTAGTTTTCTTGAATATATTTGGTGTAAGATCATGTGAAGACAACATGCATGGTAAAAGACATAAAATGATTAAGAAGTCAGCAAAGACAAAGGTGTTTGTTTTCTTTTCTGATCTCTAAAAAAAATGTCAAGTTTTAGCAATGTTTAATTTTTTCACCATTACCAATTACTGGTTCTATAATCACGTTGTTTGATTCTTCCACTTGTCTCTGTAGGGCTTCCATAACTCTGTTTTACTGTTTTATGATTTCTGACTTATTAGCTGACTATATTTGTGGTAGTCATATTCTTTTAAAGTATATAGCAATTGCAAATTTATTTTTTCTGTTCCTTGACTTTTCTTCTAAAAAGGAATCTGTGTAACATGCTTCTTGCTTTGGTTTGTGGCGTTGTTGTTTTTTCTCTTACTGTAGCAGCTTTGCACTGTGGCCATGCTGTTTATTTGCATTTTACTCATGCTGAACAGACCCGCGCAGACCTTCTGACTGGTCTGATACAGTGGACTGACTTCTTGGTTTCTCTGTTCCTTGTTTCTAAGGCCAGTTTAGTTTCCTGTCAGAAATAGAAAGAGCAACCATCTGAGAGAGCAGGCAGGGCAGGTTTGCTGGGAAAACTTACCCCTGCTTTCCCTGCCAATATTTTCATGTCCGTGCTGCACAAAGAACCGCCATACTCAATGCAGAGAGCCACAGGCGTGTCCTATTCCCATCGCTCAGTGACTTAGGGCCTCAGTAGGCTTCTCCAATTCTTTGCCCCGCCATGGGGATGAGCTCTAACACCCCTTTCCTCCAGTGTCACTTCCACAATTCCTCACTCAGAAGAAAAATAGATATAAATTCAATTTGCTGTTTTCTTCTGTTCAAGTTTGGGTCCACACAGCATTCTATTATCTCCCCAGTATGGCCTTTGGAGGGTCCAAGCTGGGCTAGGAATCCACTTTTTACCAGCAACCCAGGAACCTTTCCAAAGAATAAACTTGTATTTCTTGTTTATAAGTTTGTTGTGCCATATTGTGTCTTTTCTTTCATCTTATTACTGTTTATGGGTTTTGTTTATCTTTCCTGCATCCTTATTTTGTTATTTTTTGGGGGGAGAGGGGTTGATGCAGTTTTTAGTCTGCGATATTAGCCCATAGGCTCATATTTTTCTAGGTGATGGTCAGTTGTTGAATTGTACAACACATTCCCATGTGTACCCAGGGAGGTGGGCAACTTCTGGCACAATAGCTGTGCTTCCCCCTTTTTTCTCTCACCCAAGGATGCATTTGTGGAAGGCCAGGGAAAACTGCCCTCTCCTTCAGTAACACTGGCTGAGCACTTGCTCCCTGGTTATATGGTTATAAAATACAGCAGTGAGGAGAACAGAGCACAGTTTCAGCCCTGAGGGATCTGAGAACCTAGGGAAACAGATGGATATTAATCAGACAGTCACAGAAGTAGCATAAAGCTAACATGATGTCCTTCTTGGAAGATGGAAAGAGGTCTATAGACACATGATGATGATGTTAGCACAACAATGTGAATGTACTTAATGCCACTGAAGTGCACAGTTAGAAATCATTAAGACAGTAACCTTTGTTACATGAAAAATACGACAGCCTACACAACATGAGATGAAATGTTATGAGGGGGAGATAAATGGCGCTATGAGGCATAGATGAAGGTAGGTCAGGAGAGTCTTCCCTGAGGAAGAAATGATTGAGCTGAAATCCGAAGGAATAACAGGATGAAAGTTATTATAGAGATAACCTTGAAACCACTCCAATTTATAAAAAAGATAAATGATGCACAAATGTTGGTACTTTATTAGTAGTATGGCAGGAGAATAGTTTTAAAATATTAACCGATATTTTCCCTGTATTTGCTTTCACCTTTCTACCCTTCTTCTCGTACCACCCCCAAGCATCCAGGTTACCCCAGGCTTGTTCTGTGAAGGGAAAGGAAGCAGAGAGACACAGCAAGGAGAAAAATCAAACAGCCTCTTTAAAGATTCACTCTGAATTTTGTTTATACCAAAAGACGAGGCAGTTAGAATAAACAGAGAATGTGAGGATAGTTTTTTGCAAGAACTCATGAATAAGACAGCAAGGCTTCTTCCAATTCCTATACTTAACAGGATTTCTCAGGCTTCCCATGGAAAGGTGCATGGGAAGCTAAGAGCTCGTGAAAGTTGGGATGCTGGAGAACCCCAGGAAGGCACTAAAATCCCCAGCCGGTGTGGGGCATCTGAGAGCAAGAGAGACACCCCCATTCGTGGAAAGAGCCCTAAGAGGCAGCAAGATGCAGTGAGGCAACAGCAACCTGCTGTTTCCGGAGAGGTGAACATGGCTGTGACTGCCTTCCGCAGGTTTGCCGAAGTCCAATATGAAAAGCAACCCCTATTTCCTTCTCCCTGGGCAGAGGGGCCAAGGATAGTCAAATGAACTAGTGAGTCTGAAACCCAGACACCAAAGGACAGATGAGTAATAGACATCTCAGAGAAGCCTATGTGGCCGGATAATGCAAACGATTAAAGGACAGCCCTGCATGGCACATGCACATGTACACACACACACACACACACACTTATCAATTTGATTATGTCCCGTCTGCCTTTTGCCACACCACCAGGCATAAAACAAGACACATAAAACACATTGACCCAGATGAAGTTTCTGCCATCGCCGCAGAGTGAGGAGACAAACTAAAGTAAAAATGAGTCACATGACAATAAAGTAAGCTACATTTGCTGATTTGTAGACTGATTCATAGTAAAAGACAACTGCAACTGACATTCTCTGTACAGTCCTTAGTAACGTGTTTGTATGCCACAGCTGCAGGGTTAGAGGCACTGATACAGTTGCTCCCCATGGGGAGATCATACCGGCATAACCCAGCCCATCAGCCATGGCGGGGGCAGAGCTGGGCCCCTGCGATAAAAAGATTACAAACAGTTGCAAGCCAGCCCTGGTACAGAACTAGGAGGCCCCGCTCTATCATTTCAGCATGCTGTGCTGTTCCTTTCTTGTTGTTCCCTTTTATTTGAGAGCATGATAAACCTCCTATGTTTCTTAATGGTGGTGACAATATTTTAGTTTTTGTCTCATTCTCTGCCTCCCTTTCTCTTAAGAGAATGCTCAGTAATATATACTGGCACTCAATAAATATTTGTTGAATGAACGATTCTAGCTTTGAATCCTCTACTTGGTACAATGCTTCATTCTGAGTAAAACAGAATTTAAACGAACCTCAACTTGCTGCTGGGATGCCTGAGTTGAACAGCTTGGCAAACTCTGCATGAAATTCTGAATATTCCCAAAGACAGCCGCATGTTTTTAGATAAGTTAGCCTGATTTTTAAGATTCAAAAATTCAGATCCAGCTGAGGCCTGATTTCAAAAATATTTTCAACATCTGGAATGTAGAGTACTTAATTGATTGTTTCTATCGATACCCAGTTGACTAGAAGCCTGGAGGTCAGACCTGTCACTTTTAAAATATTGGACTAAGCTGCTTAGGCCTCTAAATGTTGTGTTAAACTCATACTACGCGAAGGACGCTGTGTTTAATGCTGTGAGCCATCTGTTTGCGAGGGGCGGACTCCAAACAGTGGACACATGCCGCCCTCTAGCGGTGACATGCTACAGCATCCGAAACATTTCAACGGGAAAACCTAGATTACCACCTGTAAAAATTAGTCCTATTACTAGTAACGAATTAGACCACATCCCAAGACTTTTATAATTCTTGCCAATGTTATTTACTCCATTCAATCCTCATAAACAATCCCATTGGCAAAGATACTGCTATGAACCCCATGGTACAGGTGAAAAAACAGAAGTTTACATACCTAATTTCACTCTAGAGCTAGAAAGGGAAGAGCTGGAATTCAAGCCCAAAATGTCTGATTCCAAAGCCTGTAGATCTTCCACTAGATCATACAGTAAGGTGTCCATAGTGTAGTAGCCATGAAGAGGATTAAAAACCCTGAACTGAACTCGGATTACAGCCGTTCTACAACAAAAGAACTCCAGTTAGACAACCCGCTCTGGGTAAGCGGTCATAAAACAACAACAAGCCTTTTGATATGGGGCACATTCGTTGCTCCCCTGAACCCCAACCCACCCTTCTGTAAAGCTAAATGCCTGAGGAAATGATTTTATCAGAATTACAACTATAACCATGATAGTAAATACAATACAGATGCTCAGGGAAGATCTACAAGATGTTAATGATCCCGGGAAAAACATTCTTCAATCACACTTTCTACCCAGACCTTTTCAACATATCCCCAAACCCTTACAAAAGCCCCGGTCTCTCATCCTGACTCTTTCCTTGCTTGCTAACCCACCTCTTGGCAGTGTACCCTGATCTAAACAAACTCTAGTCTTGTCCACATTCCTTGTCTGTTGGTAAAATCCCTTTCACCGTCCGCATCACTAGCTCTCTGTACACCATCTTGCTCAGCACATAGCAAGATCTCTGGTACTTTTGGATATTCAGTGCTGTAGTTTGGGTCAGAAATGTTTCCCAAAGGCCCATATGAAATATCCCTCAACAACACTGGGACTTGGTTCCCAGCCTGTGGGAAGGAACCCATGGGAGGTGGAGAGAGCTTTAGGAGTTGGGGCCTCGCTAGATGAGGTCAGGTCACTTGGGGCTACTGAGACCTCAGCTCCTTCTCGTCTCTTTACTTCCCCTCTGCCGTGAGGTAAGCTGCTTCCTCTACTACCTGTTCCCTTTACGATGTGCTTTGTTGCCTCAGGCTGAAAGCAACAGAGCACAGTGACCACAGACTGAGACCTTGAGCCAAAATAAACCTTTCCTGCTTTTAAATTGATCTTCTCATGCATTTTGTTACAATGATGAAAAACTGAACATTGCACTTACTAAGTATTTATTGACAATAGCAGCAGCTATTGCTTCACAACAGCTGGTATGTGTGTGTGTGTGTGTGTGTGTGTGTGTGTGTGTGTGTGATTCACTTTTCCCATGACAAGAATATGACATCCAGCACCTAAAATTTAAAGGTTTTATTTGGCTTACAGTTGCAGGAGATTCAGGCCATTGTGGGTAGACTCTAAGGCAGAAAGATCATGACAGAAGGTTGTGTAGGCAAAGATTCGCAGTGCATGGTGGCTGGGAAGCAGAACAGGGGAACAGTGTCAGAGAGGAAAGAGCCAGGGACCAGACATAGATTCCCCGTGTCAGGTCTCCATGACTCACCCAGACCTACCCGGAAGCCCACCCCATCAATCCCCTTGGCAGTTCCCAAGCCAATCAAGTTGACACAATTAAGCTCAGCCAGCACACGGTACATTTATATGTTCTTGTATCTATCATGGGTCGATTGCCTACCATGCACATGTACCATTTCATTTTTTTCATCCGGGGAGAAGTTAAGGCTTGCCCTGATGAATTCTTTAGCTGGTCATTTAAAGACACTTGAAACAGTCTTTTTTTTATAGATATATGTGTGCATCATTCAACAAGTATTTATTGAGGACCTACTATGTGCCAAGCTATGGCAAAAGAACGAACAGGTGTGCTCAAAACCTTGTAGCAAGTTTGCTGATTTTATTCTTCACTTCCCTAAGAGCTGGAACTGGACCACATCCTGCATCTCTTTGCTGTATGGCCTTTTCGAGTATCAACGTTGATTATTAACATCCCAGATTATCTAAATTACTTAACAGTTAGTAGCATGCAGTAGTTTAAAAAAGAAAAAAGCCTGTGCATTGTGTTTTTTAATTGCATTCATCAAAGCAGCCCAGGCAGAATTGTCTGGAAATCAGAACCCCAGGCAGTTTTGTAACTGTCAAGGGGCCCCGCTTCAAAATTCATGAACCCAGGGTAAGACCCAGGATTAAAGCATAAAGACCCCAAAGCCACTGCATGTTTCTCAGCTTAATGAGCCACTTCACAGCCAAATGTCAAGAAACAGGAGCAAGAATGGGGACTTGGAGAAAAGAGCCTTTTGGATAGCTACCTACTAGATATTCTATTCATTTCAAAAATGAAAATATTTGTATAAATGTATTGCATCAAGGTTCAGACAGAAAACAAAATGCAAGACATTAAATTTCTATTGATAAAACAACAAAGGAAACCCAACCATCGCTGAAGTCCCTTTCATCTCCAACACATTTTGATTGAAATGAGGGGAAGATTGCCTTTCTGCTTCCTCTTCTCTGAGGTCACAGAATCAGGATTGAACAGATCCCACTGGGTTCTGAAACCTCAGTCTTCCTTGGGGGACTTATCAACGTATTTAACCCACAAAGATCTGTTGAATAACTTTTGTGCCCTCCCTTAAGGTGGCTTTGGGGTTGGAGTTTAAAAGAAAGGAAAGTTGAATGTCATTATTTCGTGTTCTCCCTCAGGTGTTACTTCTGCCCTCGGATGAGTTCCTGGACACCTCCACCTCCTTCTCTGCCCCATTCTCTCTTCCCTGAAGGGGGCCCTCAGGGCAAGCAGCTTTCCTGAGGCTGGAAGTGTCCCAGGGACAGTAGGGAGGGATGAAGAGGTGTCCTGGCAGTGAGGTGGACCTTGAAGAAGATACACCTGCCTGAAAAGTGGGTGAGAAGGGACCGAGAGAAACATCAGCCCTACAGACCCAACTGGTCACTGCAGGACATTTCCAGTCTGACCTCCAGCCCTCTCTCGAGCACTAAAGAAAAAATAGCACAAAAGCTTCTGCGCTCTCCAGATAGCTGGCTGCTGCAAAAATCCTGGCCAGAGTAGTAGGTGTGCGTGCAGGAAAGCATGTTCACGTGGGAAATGAGCTCCTTCAGGGCCAGTGAGTAGGATCCCTCCAGAGCCACCCTGTGACTGCTGGGTAGGTGTTGTGGTCTCTAGCAAATGCTGACCCTCAATGGTTCTGTCATCCTTTCTAAAAGAAGAGGGTTAGATTAGGTCATGACAAAGGGCCAGTCCAGCTGTAAATTTTCCTTTCAAAATACTGAAAGTAAATTGCCAGCCCTGTGGCCCCCCCACCAGTCTGCAAAATCAGACACTGTAGAAGCTGCAAATCTTCAAGAGCATTTCCAGCATCCATCTGATGTGCCCGTCAAACTGCACAGGATACATGAATCTGGCTTGGCTACTACCCACGTATTTAACCGTACCTCTGTCCCTATGGTTGGGTTTATTAGCTCTCCTACTATAGTCTTGGTAAAATGGAATCCAAAACAAAAGTAAATAAATAAGCAAATAGTGGCTCACATTCCCAGTGTGGGTGGACTGGTTTACTTACCACTACCCAAGCCTCACAGCTCCGCATTTCCAATTATGTGTAAAAATAACTGCATTTGCCTCTAGTTCAATCCCCAGAACTATATACACTGCTTCAGTGATGCAGCACGTTAATTAATTCCTCTCAAAGAACGTGAATGTAGCAGATTTTCTCAAAATAAACTACCATTTCCCAGTACTGTCAAACATCCACTTTTGATTCACTTCATCCTCCAATTCACAGTTCTAAAAATGCTCACAAATGTCATGATGTTCACAGCAACTGCATAGGAGCAAAGGGACATTTTGTGATATTAAATAATTCATATTACTCATTTTTTGTGCTAGCCTTCAAACTCAGAGCCTCGTGCATGCTGCTCATGTTTTACCACTGAACGACACCCCCAACCTCCTCTATATTACTGTCAAATTTATAGAAATAGGTCTCAAAGGAACAGGCATTGCCTTAGTTACTTTTCTCATTACTGAGACAAAGTACTCAGCATCCAAAGTTAAAGGAAGAAAGGTTTATTTCAGCTCACAGTTTGTAGAGGTTTCAGTCCATAATCGGCTGGCTCCAAGGCATGGCAGCAGAGGGGCATCACAGAGCAGGCAGGAGATGGCAGCAGCAACAGCAGTCTGCCTCTCCCTTTTAGCCCATCCAGAGCGCCACCCATACCCAGGGTGGGTCTTTCCACACCTAGAACTATGCTAAACCAATCAGTGGAATAATTTAGTGCCACACACCCTTGATCCCAGCATCACGCACTCTAGATCCAGCCACCTCTGAAAGGCCCCATCTATGACTGCATGAGGCTTTGGAGGAACATCTAGATACAGACCATGACAGGTATAAAGCTTGATACTGATTCTTTATATTGGTATCTAGATGGACATTGAATGCTGGAATTGAATGTCATTTTGTTTTTAGTAATTATGATTATGTGATTCAATTGCTTTCAAGAATATAAATATTTCAATTTAATTGATGACATTTGTTTTAAAAATTCTATGTTCATTATTTATAATGTATACTTTATCTTTAATTTTAGAATATAGTTTAAAGATATTTTTCCTTTCTGGATGAATATATTTGGGCTACATGTGACCTCTGAGCAATAAACACACTGAATTGTTATAGAAAAGCGGGATTTTTAGCTAAGCATAATAGAGCACATCTGTAATCTCAGCACTCTGGAGGCTGAGGTAGAAGAATCACAAGTCTGAGACCACCCCTAAGCAGCTTAGCAACTTAGCAAGACCCTGTAAATAAACAAATAAATAAATGAATGGGCTGGGGATGTAACTCTTTTCAAAGGCCTAGAGTTCAACCCCCAGTATAGAAAGAAAGAAAAGGAAAGGAGGAATGAAAGAAGAATTTTTAAATATAAATTTTTTTATTTTTAAATTTCTTTTCATTCTTTCTAAATTGTGTACAGTTTAAATTCTATTGTTTAGTCCTTTAGATCATCAAGATCATGATGTAAAGAAAATATCTGAAGAAAATATCTTGGTCCATTTAACTGCTGTCATAACTGGATACCACAGACTCATTTATAAAAATAAAGGTTTGTTTGTCTAACAGTTCTGAAGGCCAAGAAGACACAGAATGTGTAGCTGCATCTGGTAGGTCCTTCCTGCTGGCGGGCACTCTCTGTACAGCGGCCCAAGGTGGTGCTACGGGCCTCGTGTGATAAGACAGAGCGACCTGCCTCATGTCCCTTCTCTTCTTGTAAAGTCACAGTTCCATTGTATTAGCACCTTAGTTACCTCCAGAGTCTCCATGTCCGGGTACCTGAGGAGGATCATGTCCTCACCATCTTGATAGGGGCTAGATTTCAAAGTAAGTTTTGGTAGGGATCTCAAGCCACAGAAATAATCTAAAAAGAAACCAGTTGCTCTTCAGAGGCCGTTTGCACAAGTGTGTTTTAAACTGGAAACCAGGAAAATGAGCAAATTTCTGTCAAGTATGGCCCACGTAAAATTCTCTGACCAAGACTGTTATGTAAAGAACACTTAATTGCCATTTAAAAATTTTTAAATAGCAAATTATTCTCATCCATTCACAATCTGCACAGGTCAAATAAAATCTCTAAAACTAACCTCACAGTCTGTACCAAATGAAGATATAATTACACATTGTAAAATGTAATTTGCAGACAGGAAAGCCACAAATGGAATTACTAAAATTGAAAAAAGAAATTAATAAAGAGCAATCAGTAATATTCAATAAAGATAAGCAAATGCCAGTTAAGAACCTTACCATGATGTTCATTATAGGATGACATTATATATTCAGAATTTACCAAGCATAATGATGCTTTCTACGTCAGTGGAAGGGCAATACCCAGGTTTAGAAGAAATGGTTTCTAGTTCTGATGCCAAATAAACAAAACTACAATAAAGCAAATGATCACTCCCACGTGTAGCAGAAGATGCTCCCTCCCCGCCCCCAGGTAGTACACTCTGGTTTGTTAGTTGCACAGGTAATCATTCAGGTTACAGTTCCTGTCACTTTTGTTTCTTAGAAATGGCTGGTTATTCTGATGCATAGCTGGTCACTATGATGCATATTGTAGGAACCAAACCCAACTGAGAAGGCGGTCTACCTCTGTACTTCCTGCTTGCTTATCCCATTTAAGCCCTAGACAGCCAGAGATCAGCGCCTGACATTTTAGGAATGATCACAATCAGCGCCCATCAATGTAAAATAGATCTAGGTGTCATTTCAGTGTTTCTGCTTGTCATTGCACAAGGATAAAAATTCAAGATAGGCTATTAATTTAATGGGTAATGAGGTGTGAGAGGAAAACACACTTAAGGTTTCAGAAGTTATTTTTCTTCAGTTCAACTAAATTGTACCAAGATCAAAATTAACAATCAAAATAGGAAAATTACTCAATACTCAGTAGCATAGCACTGGTTTTACACCAGTTGTAAAAATAAGTTTAGAAAATTTAGTGGGTAGAGGCCTTGCAAGATGTCAGCTGAGTAAGATCCTCCAGAGATCATCTCCCTCCAGACACACCAACTTATCATCAGATCCTAATCCTTCTTCTTCTTAGCCTAACTCTAATCTCTTTTACCTGGTTTTAGTAGCAGACAACTATAATCCCAGCACTCTAAGAAGCTGAGGCAGAAGGTTCACAAATTCAAATCCAGCATGGGTGTCTTAGTGACTTAGCAAGACCCTTTCTTATAACAAAAGATAAAAAGGACTAGGAATGTAGCTCAGCGCTAAAGGCTCAATCCCCAGTACCAGAAAAAAAAAAAAAAAAAAAAATGCCCCTATAAACAGACCAGCGCTTACAGACAGAGCTCCTATCCCTGGTCTTGCTGTAGGTGAAGACCTGCAACCCACTGAGATAGACTCAATTTTTCTCTTGGAGTGGGCCTGGGGCACAATCGAGTCCACAAGACTATGCAAGTCCCTGTGGCTGTGAAACTCAGGAATGACCCAGCTTAGCATCAGCCTTGACAGCCGATGGACTCCCTTCCACCCACTCCACACCCTCAGGCAGCACAGATATCCCCAGGCCAGTGCTCACAGGTGGAACCCAGACCAGTTCCAGCGCTAAAGAGAGACCCACGCCCCCACAGGACAGACCCATCATGTGGTTTGCACTGCTTCCAGCTGCTCCACTGGCTTGGCACATCCCTGAAGCTCTGCAGGTTCTTGCAGCTGTGAGATTCGGGTCCGACCCAACTTGGCACTGCCCTTGGTGGTCAAGGGACTGTCTTCATCAACACTAGCCCAGCCGTGGGAAGCACAGCATGGAGGAAAATTCCATTTCCTGGGAATAGAAGTCGGCAGTAAGCATAGGACTTTACTTTGAATCTCAGTATTGAGCTGGTAAAACTTAACACTGGGCAGATCCTCGCAGCCCCATCCCAGGCCAGCGTCCAAAGGTGGAGCTTCTACAACAGCCCCAGTATCTGCCATAAACACATGGCCCTGGTCTTTGTATTCTACTCCCGTCAGTATCACCTACAGCTGGTTTTAAAGGGGACCTGAGTCACAAGTTCACCACAGCAGTAGCAACACATGGCAGTGTGGGTTGCGGTCCCACCCAGGGCTGTGCTTTCTTTCGTAGTCTGTATGCTTCGTGGGACACAGCACTGTGGTGCTGGTGGCCGCGGGTGTAGCATAGGAGCCTGGATTTTTTTCCCTTAACAGAGATTATGCCCTGATCTAGGAGGCAAAAT